ATATGACACATAACTGACAACTTCCCTAGGCTTGTGATATGACACATTACTGACAACTACCGTATGCTAGCTGATAAGTGACCACTACCCTAGGCTAGTGATATGACTTTGTTAACTGATCATTCCTGATAATTGACCATTACCCTAGGCTAGTGATATGGCTTTGTTAACTGATCTGATAATGACCACTACACTAGGCTAGTGATATGACTTTGTGAGCTGATCATTCCTAATAATTGACCACTACCCTAGGCTAGTGATATGACTTTGTTAACTGGTCATTCCAGATAATTGACCACTACCATAGGCTAGTGATATGACTTTGTTAACTGGTCATTCAAAATAATTGACCACTACCCTAGGCTAGTGATATGGCTTTGTTAACTGGTCATTCAAGATAATTGACCACTACCCTAGGCTAGTGATATGGCTTTGTTAACTGATCACTCCTAATAATTGACTACTACCCTAGGCTAGTGATGTGACTTTGTTAACTGATCACTCCTGATAATTAACCACTACTCTAGGCTAGTGATATGGATTTGTTAACTTAACTGACCTTATAAATGAACACTACCCTAGGCTAGTGATATGACTTTGTAAACTGATCACTCCTGATAATTGAACACTACCCTAGGCTTGTAATATGGCTTTGTTAACTGGTCATTCCAGATAATTAACCACTACCCTAGGCTAGTGATATGACTTTGTTAACTGGTCATTCCAGATAATTGACCACTACCCTAGGCTAGTCATATGACTTTGTTAACTGGTCATTACAGATAACTGACCACTACCCTAGGCTATTGATAGGACTGTTGACTGATCAGTCCTGATAATTGACCACTACCCTAGGCTAGTGATATGGCTTTGTTAACTGGTCATTCAAGATAATTGACCACTACCCTAGGCAAGTGATATGACTTTGTTAACTGGTCATTTCAGATAATTGACCACTACCCTAGGGTAGTGATATGACTTTGTTAACTGGTCATTCCAGATAATTGACAACTACCCTAGGCTAGTGATATGACTTTGTTAACTGGTCATTCCAGATAATTGACCACTACCCTAGGCTAGTGATATGACTTTGTTAACTGGTCATTCCAGATAATTGACCACTGCCGTAGGCAAGTGATATGACTGTTAACTGGTCATTCCAGATAATTGACCACTACCCTAGGCTAGTGATATGACTTTGTTAACTGGTCATTCCAGATAATTGACTGCTACCCTAGGCTAGTGATATGACTTTGTTAACTGGTCATTCCAGATAATTGACTGCTACCCTAGGCTAGTGATATGACTTTGTTAACTTGACTGATCATTCCTGATAATTGACTACTACCTTTGGCTAGTGATATGACACGTTACTGACAACTACCGTAGGCTAGTGAAATGACACATTACTGACAACTACTATAGGCTAGGGATATAACACATAGATGACAACTACACTAAGCTAGTGATATGACAAATAACTTACAATTTCCCTAGACTAGTGATATGACACATAACTGACAACTACCCTGGGCTAGTGATATAACACATAACTGACAACTTCCTTTGGCTAATGATATGACACATAACTGACAACGTCCCTATGCTAATGATATGACACATAACTGACAACTTCCCTAGGCTTGTGATATGGCTTCGTTAACTGGTCATTCCAGATAATTGACCACTACCCTAGGCTAGTGATATGACTTTGCAAACTGATCACTCCTTATAATTGACCACTACCCTAGGCTAGTGATATGGCTTTGTTAACTGGTCATTCAAGATAATTGACCACTACCCTAGGCTAGTGATATGGCTTTGTTAACTGATCACTCCTAATAATTGACTACTACCCTAGGCTAGTGACGTGACTTTGTTAACTGATCACTCCTGATAATTAACCACTGTAGGCTAGTGATATGACTTTGTAAACTGATCACTCCTGATAATTGACCACTACCCTAGGCTAGTGACATGACTTTGTTAACTGGTCATTCCAGATAATTTACTTCTACCCTAGGCTAGTGATATGACTTTGTTAACTGGTCATTCCAGATAATTGACTACTACCTTAGGCTTGTGATATGACTTTGTTAACTGGTCATTCCAGATAACTGACCACTACCCTAGGCTATTGATAGGACTGTTGACTGATCACTCCTGATAATTGACCACTACCCTAGGCCATTGATATGACTGATGTCTGATGACTCATGCTTATTGACCACTAGCCTGGGCTTTTGATATGACTTTGTAGGCTGATATGACAACCTTAATTTGTGTACCTTCAATTGCTGCTGTGTAAAACCATTACCAATCTCTCCAGTTTCTTTTTCGATTGATGAATATTATCAACCTATCCAGTCACTCAAAAGTGTTATAGTCAAATTAATACACAACACATAATAAGTAACTGGAAAGGTACAGCAATTGCTGAAACAAGAAATGTAGATAAATAAATACTCCTTGCACTTTAGTTTTTCATATTAACATGATTAAGTGGACAAGTGAAATTTATATATTTGACCTTAGGTTGAAATTTTAAAAAAATTGTCTAAATTCCCTTAGCAGAAAATTCCCTTACTCCTAGTTTTTACTTAGAACTAAACAAAAAGTAATCAGCTTGTTTTGAACATAATATATCATTTGTAAATTTACCTTTGAAGAGCATATATACATGTATATATAAATTATAAATAAAGATACTTCCTTTATTCACAAATTTAAAAGGACAGAATAAACTTAAAGGGGTACATAACTGGACACTGTAAATGTTAACTAATAGAAAGGGTTTGTGGGGCATCCCCTGCTCAATTTGCACACCTCTTAGCAGATTTTTACGTCATTATGTCCAAGTTTTCAAGAAGACTGTTTAAACCTGAAATAATTTTTACACTGATAAATTTTGATGTCACATTTGTAAGGCTACACTTATAAATATTTTAGTTTGCCCTTACCCTACCCAAAGATACATTTTAGAGACAGTGGGTAGGTTGGTAGGCATTTTCTTTTTTCTCACAGCAAAGGGAAATTGAAGTGTCAGATGTTTTTTAGTCTTCATGCCTATCAGATTCAAAGAAAACTTTTTCACATCAGAACAATAAAAGAATTTGGGTAGGCAGCTATGTTTATGGTAGGTAGGGTTAGGGCAAACAAACATATATTCTTTTGTATGGTCAATGCATTCCTTTAAAAATAAACAGAATGCAAGGATTACTACAAAAAATTTATAAAATCAGTTAGTTAATAACCAGATAGCATGTCTAAATGTTATGATAATCTTAGATGTCTGTAAAATTGTGTACTGATGTTTTTGTTCAATAATATGAAAGAACCCAGGTTTTTAGTTACATCTAAAGATGTCATAGTTTATATTTATGGTAGCTTGGAAAATATATATTTATGGATCAATGGGTAATGATTTTCTTCTGAAAATTATATGAACAACGGGTATATATACATGTCCAGATTCTTGCAAACAAAAATACATGTACAATAAATGTATATGAATGGGGTGTCTGGTTTACAACAACAGCCAGATGTCTGTACGAAACCCTGTAACTGTGTGCAAGATGAAACAAACACCCTAGCCCCACCCCCTTCGACCATATGTTAATGATGGGATCATAGGTAGCAGTAGTCCAGATAATTATGACCAAAAAAATAAAATAGCCTTTCAAGACATCATAATTATTGGTCTAATCAGTAATTGAGTTAGGCTAAGGTTTGGTTTTACATTGGTTTATTCTGAGACATATATACAAGTGAATATGTGTCTCTCAAACACTGATTTAGGGGGTGAGCAGGGTGCATTGGACCCCCCTCTTGTAGGGAAAATTTGGTGGATATAAAGGGAATCACCCAGGCATGACTGGAGCATAAATAGGGACTGGACTACAGATCAGATATATTATATAGCCAATAAATCGTCTACAGTAGGGGCATACGTTTTTTCGTTTTTTTTAAATGTATGTAGACGATTGACGCGCTATACTATATTACATATATTTGACCTGTAGTCAAGACTGAAGTCATAGGCGGATCCAAGGGGGAGGGGGGGGGGGGCTGGGTGTCATGGGCCCCCCTTTTCGTGTGAAAAATTTGGTTGATTATATAGGGAATCACTGAAGCATGACTGGAGCGGGCCCCCACTTAGGTCAGTCAGCGGGCACCCCTTATGAAAAGTTCTGGATCCGCCACTGGAAGTCCCTATGGCGGCTATGCCATGGACTGGAGCAGCCCCCCTAAATGAAAATTTGGATCTGTTACTGTCGCTGGTTTAATATAGCTCTTCTGTATGTTTTCATATGTAACACATAGGGTAGCCCTCGTATGCATTCGTTGCGTGTAACTCCCCCCTTTAATAATCGTCTTGTGAGTGCTTAGATGCCGTGTTTGTACACAATATCTAAAGCTGATTCAGTATTCAAAATACTTATTTTGGTATCGTCTCTGTTCCAGTGATATATGCCCTACATCTTGGGAAATATCTAAGAACTTCTGAACATATTTTTGTTTTCCGCTTGCTGATAGTTCTGTGAAATTAGATAATCGCGCCAATGACGTGATCACGTATCCCGCGTTGCTTCATAAAACTCATGAATATTCATACTACCCTAGGCTAGTGATACGTAGAGTCTACCGCCAAGTCGTCTTCAAACTGGTATCTGTTGTTAGATTAAAAGGAACAACAGAAGATAATTTGGAGCGAAAACCAGTCATGATTTATAATACTAAAACACATACGGACTGGTTATCATAAATCCGGAATAAAGTTTATCTATTTGTTGTTGCAGTCTGAACCTAGACAGGAACACATAGTTTTTAGCTGAGACCCATAATAATATTTAAAGGGTTGAAATAGGGTCTTATTTAGTCTTGTGCAATTTTTTTTTACTTGCAATTTAAAGTACATTGTATCTGAATTTAATGTATGATGATATGTTTCCATTGTCCCGGCCCCATGATAAACAGATAGATAAAATACCCAAACACAGTATCAACAAGTCAATTTACTCTCATTTATTACAGATCCACCAACTATCACTGCCACATTACCAGAAGAAGATGCCAGCCAGGATCTCTATGAGTCGGCAGCATCACTTATCAGTGACTGTCCACCCCTTCTCAGTCCACAGAGTCCATCTCTACTGACTGGATATGACCCTATCCTAACACAAACAGTTGTTCCAGTACAAACAAGTATTACAGAAAAGCGGAAGTAAGTTTAAAATAAATATAAAAAAGAAAATATGTTATGATTGCCAATGAGACAACTCTCCACAAGAGACCAAAATGACACTGAAATTAAAAGTAAGGCCTTCAACAAGGATTTGTATAGTAAGATATGCTACTATACAAATCCTTGCCTGCAACAAGAACTCTTTAAAAATGTGTTGTGTAAACAGGTTCCGCTAGGTTATTGGGTGAACACTTTTTTCTTGATACAATGTATAAAATTAGATTTGTCAATGCATGTTTATATTTCCAACAATGAACCTCAAAGTGAGATTTTGCTATCGGTTCTTCATGACAATGCAGTCATTAATATTACTAAACGTGGCAATCTTTCAAACCTAAACCTAAAAAGTATTGACAAATTCTGCTAAGGATAGAACTATATGGTATAGTGATTTATAGTGATATATTTCCTTATAATAACTTTAAATGTATTCAAGTTTTAGTCATTTCAGCACCTAAGTAAGCATCAGGGATGGTGGTGGTGGTGGTGGTGGTGGTGGTGGGGGGATCAATATTTGATTGATAGGGGTGCCGCTGGGGTTCTAGAGTGACCCCACCCTATTAATATAATTAAGATATTAAAAATGTATAGTCTTTTTCCTATATTGCGTAGTTAATAATGTAACCTTTTCTCATATTTGTTGTGTTTCGTGTGGTTATTTCAGAGGCAGATTTGGTGGGTGGGCCCAGGGGGCTTGTGCCCCCATCCCTTCCCCCTTTTGTGGGAAAAATTTGGTTGATTATATAGAGAATCACTGAAGCATGACTGGAGTGGGCCCCCTCTTGTGAAAATTTCTGGATCTGCCAATGAAATAAGGGCTAAGATTCTGTATGTAATGTTAATTCAACTTAAGGCGAGACTTTTTATGATGTGAAAAATGACAGTCTCAGACAGGGCTTTTTAGTATACAAGTAATTGGAACTTTTTTTACCTTTCATATATTTCTGACAGTTTTCCCCACCTATTTACATATTTCAAGCCGGAAAACATGACATATTCCAACGGCACGTCGTTCAATCACTTTGTATATAGAAAGTGGCCCCGGAGTTGTAAGTAGCTATTTGGTAGAATTATTCCTGGGTATCGATCAATATCTTTTCAATCTTTTAAAAAAATCATTATGTTTTTTTTATTTGTAGGATAGTGAGAACACCCTCAAAAAAGGTAACAGTGCAGGACATACATGACATACAGTATCGTGCACTGCAGGGTAAATTAGTGATACAAGAGAAGAAGAACATTCAAATGGACTTGGAAAAAAAAAACTGGAACTCCAAATTGAGCTTTTGCAAAAGTTAGTGGGTGGCAATTCAGAACCAGTCACACTCTCCCAGGCACTTGCCTCTATGTTTTGAACGTATTAAATTCATTGTTATATTGTTGATTTTTATTTTAGAAATTATTATGAGGCCACCAAATTCATTTTGTGTACACACTCCTATGTAAAAGAAAATAGTAATTACAATTTAGCAACACCCAATGCACCTCCATCATTCAAAGAATCATAAGGGAGCTACCATTTAATTTTTATGATGGGGGGGGGGGGGGGGGGGCTAGGATGAATTTGAAAAAAAAAGGCAGGACAAGAGTTTTGAGTAAAAAAAATGGCAGGATGAGCAACTTGGCAAAAAAAAAGGCAGGATGACAATTTATGTAAAAAAAGTCAGGATAATCTAATAAAAAAAAGACAGGACAGAGATTACACTTAACAAAAAATGCAAGACAAAATTTTTCATTCTAGCCCCCCCCCCCCCTATAAAAATCAAATGGTAGCTATACCTAAGTGATGCATGAATCAAAAACTTATAAACAAATGACAAGTATTTCAACCAAAAACTCAATGATCTAAGGATGTAATAATGCAGCTACATGAACAGGAAGCTAGCTCCGATGTTTCGTTTTTGACTTCTTGCAAGGAATGAAATGTCTTTAGATCCTCGCTGCAATTATTCTACATGTACCTTCCCAAAATCAGGAGCCTGTAATTTTAATGGTTGTCTGTTGTTAATGTATTTCATATTTGTTTTTTTTTTGGTTTATTTATTATATAATTCTGGCGATTGGTTTAACTTATCTGAATTGTTTTACAATTGTTGCACTGGAACCTATAATTGCTGATATTGAGGACATTTGGTCTTGGGTAAATTGTTGTTTCAGGATACCCCATCGTCTCATTGGCAATCAGGATGATGGAAGTTTTAAATGAACTTGACTGGCTATATATATAGCCCTTGCACTGCTGGACCTGGCTTGCGCCTTTTTGGGCATTTAAATAATTTAATTTTTACCATATGGTAATTGATATAATCAATTGGCAATCATACCACATATTCTTATTTTTATACTGAAGTACAGTTGCATGGCTACTGGGTTTTTAATTTCATAGGCGACTAACTGCTCACTATTTACCATACCAATTTTTAAGCCGAAAATGCACACTTCCTCTGTCGACAGATTGTCAAAATGATCATATAAAGATTTGTTGCTATTTTCAAATTTCCTCATTTTTTTAATGAATGACAATGTATCAAAATATGAAAAAATAAAAACATGCAATTTGTTAGGCAAAAAAAGTGGTAGCAAAATGGTCCTGTATGCCTTTTCCGTCCTGTGGACCATTATAGGATGGCATCTGAGGTTGATTGTCAATTAATTGTTCTTCTGCAACGTCAGGTTCATTCCTTATGATGGCAATATTGTGCAGAACACCACAAGCAATGATGATACAGCAAGCTTTATCTGGTTTCATTCGGATCTGGAATACAATTTAAAAACATTTATTTCTTATTTTAAAGTGTGACAGAAATACTATTTGTAAGTAGCATGATGCAACGTTGTTCATGAATAAGGCTGAGATTAAATAAATCTATTACGAAAAAAATTACTTTCAGTAACAGAAACACAATGTGACGTGTGCATATTTTTAACACTATTAATGAAAAAAGGACAAAATCAGGTATGAAGCTGAGCAAAAAGTCCAACTGATGATGTACTGTTTCATTCACGATTTATTATAGTTACAGTAATGACTAACATGGAGCATCTACCCCAACAGGACTTCCTGAATTTACCGAACCAACATTACCTATTTTCCAACTGGATCCCTGTTCTCCGTATAATTTTAGGGTTTTGATCTGTGTGATGAATTGTGTTTTTGTCAGGGCTTGACATTTTACGTGTTTCTGAGGTCAGCTTCATCGGCCCTTTAATATACAACTGATTTTTCAGTTTTCTCGTTTTCTTTTTACATATAAAAATAAGGAGATTTGGTATGATTGTCAATTTTATAACTAAAAATGTATATATCCTACAAAGTTAAAATGAATTAAGTGGATGAAAGCAATTATAGGCAACCGTACGGCCGTCATCAATAAAAAAAATACTGTATTAAGTAGGCTATAAAAGGCCCTGACATAGAAGGGGACAATTATGAATACCTAAACCAAAATTTAGAGAAATAGAAAAAATGTACTAATGAAAGATTAAGTAGACAGCTCTCACAAGAAGAAATAAAATGCTTCGCTGGGGCACAGCTTGATACGACCGCAGAGGTCGAACCCTGAACAGTTGGGGCAAGTATGGACACAACATTCAAGCTTGATACAGCTCTGAATTTGGATTGTTATTAAATATTTGACACAGCATAGGTTTCTGACACAGAAAGAATTTGGTCTAAGAACTTGAATTTTTTTAATTTACCTATTATGGTCCAATGTCCAAAATCAAAATACATGGTTAGATTCAGCATATCAAAGAACCCCATATATTCAATTTTTGTTAAAATCAAACAAAGTTTAATTTTGGACCCCTACTTGGACAAACTTGAAAACTTGGCCCATAATCAAAAATCTAAACACATGTTTAGATTCAGCATATCAAAGAACCCCAAGAATTCAATTTTTGCTAAAATCAAACTATGTTTAATTTTGGACCCTTTGGACCTTAATGTAGACCAATTTAAAAAACGGGACTTAAAATTAAAAATCTAAATACACGGTTAGATTTGGAATATCAAAGAAATAATTTCTGTGTCATTTAATCTCTTGTGGAGAGTTGTCTCATTAGTAATAATACCACATCTTCTTTTTTATGCATGCATAGTTTGTCCATTATAGTTCCAGTCATTAAAATATTGGCCGAATTTGGAATGTGGTGAAAACAAAATATGTATAGTAACAATTCAGATAAACAATACATTGCATAGAAGTTATGCTCCCTTTTTTTTAAATGTATTGAACAATGACTGGCTTGGGGATTGGTCACTATTTCTGTCTCCTCTGACACAGAAACATTTAGAGGTAGATCCAGAATTTCTGCAAACTACATGAGGCACACTATTTACGTTGTCGTTTCAAAGTTTAAGCCTGACCAAATTCTACCTGAAGCAGATAAGGGGTGGATGGGCACATCTTTACAACTATTTTGATCAATAAATTTATGTATTAAGCATAAACGATCATAAACACCTAGCAGTTCACTCGATCCATCATATTTGAAAGTGAAACAGTAAACGCATTGATTTTACGGATCCAATAAAAAGTATATGACAAGATTGAGTTGTCCATCTTTTTTCATCAATTTTCAAATTAGCTGAAAACCAGTTCAACAGAAAACCAGCCAATATTGTATATGGTTAAGGACGATTGAAGGTCAAGAAAAAGGACGCACACAATGCATGTTGTAAACATAAAATAGGTAGAATATAGTGTTTTAAATTACCTTCATGGTCACAAATGGCTTGTACGTTGATGCTGTGGAACCCCTTTCTGTTAACAAATGCTGGTTCATCAATGCTAGGCCCAGTAATCCTTATGTGGGTCCCATCAATGCATCCAACCACGTTTGGAAAACCAGCCTTTTTATAAAACCCAGCCCTTATTACGTTATTCCTCTGGTTATCTGGCCACGACATGAACTCGTCCTTCCTGGCAACTAATAACTCCGTCACGCGGTCGATCACCCGAGACACAGTTGATTTGTCAAATCCCATTGTGTCCCCAACAACTTGCAAGTGAGATCCACTGCCATAAAACCTCAAGGCAATCATAACTTGTTGTTCCACTGAAAGGGCTGTCTCCTTATTTGTCCCAAGCTCCAGATCCCCTCTCATTAAATCAGACAAGTACTCAATGGTCTCTCTGCCAAATCTATACCTCTGCCTTAGCTCCTCATCAGAAAATTCCCTTTCAAGAGGGTCAAAACCACGAAAATGTCGCTCTCTCCGTACAACAGGTGGTAGAAACAATACATTGACAGCCATCTTAGATTGAGGGTAATCAACTGATTAAAATTTAATCAACCTCAATGAGGTCGATTAAATATAACGACACTTTGACAATTTTAAATGACTCGTTAAATTTAACGACAAGTTGAACAACATGATAATGGACTGATTAAATTTAACGCAGTGATTAGTAAAATTTAACGACTCGTTTACTTTAACGACAAGTTGAACAACAGACCCCTGATTTGCAGAAACGGTATTTTTTTGTAATTTCGAGGGCCTGTTTTGAGATAGGTTGGTTTGGAAAGATGTAACTGCTAAATTCATTATTGTTTGAAGTTGCAGCAATCTGTATAACATCTGAGGTTCTATCTGAAAAAAAAAATTAGTTTAGTTTTTCTTATTTCAATATTTCTCAATAAATACAAAATATGTTACCTGCTAATTCAATAGTTTTAGCAATGTATGGGTTAATCTTATCACCAAAATGGCCTGAAAAGGAAACTAATTATTTTTTTCATGATTTATTATTCTAATAAAGTGTTTACAATATCTAATGTTCACTTTTCTCTTTTAGTTTTTCATGTGAGGGTCTGTTAAAGCCTCCTGTGTGATATAGGTTTATGATTTTCATTGTTGAAGTCTGTATGATTGCCTATAATTGCCTACTTTCACTCTATTTGAACTTTGGGGGGATACAGTCTCATTAATTAATAAATTGGCAATCATACCACATCTCCATTTTTTATGTAGACAATTTAAGAAATTTGTATGGGCAATTTTCCTGCTGTGTTATACATTTATCTCTAACTTTAATATTTGAGTGATATATATATAAAAGTATTACTTCAAAAAGAAGAATGAAAAGCTGGTTCCATGTGCAATAACCAATATACAATGTATATAAGCATATAAAGTTTTCATATAATTTATTTTATCATATACTTAGCATTAATATGATAGCTTTTGCATATGTGTAATGAACGGAAGTACACAAGCCATAATTTCCCACCCGGGCTGTTAACCCATATCAGGGGCCTCTCGTGCAAGTTACTTCCGTTATTTCCGGTATCGTCTGTTTAATTTTCCATTGTGGCGTCAGATATTTTTTATTATGACGTCAAAATTTTACGGGAACTTTTGTGATGTCCAGTAATGGCGGACAAATAGCGATAAGGTGTATTGGATCCAGTGGTAAATTCGTTTGTACAGAACCACCTGTTATTGAAAAACAGATGTTAACATGGCTAAATCCAATAATATAGATTCTCAAAATGATGATAGTTAAGTACTTGCTAACAAATGCCATTGACAATTATGAATCATCTCATAGTACAACATGTAGTAATAATGATCATAAAACTGTAAATACTTCTTTGCTTCCAAATTTTCAATGTTTCAAAATGCCTCTATAGGAAATGGTAACATAAATATATATATGGAGGTAGTGATGCTATTGTTGGACAATGATAGTGTATTTGTTGGATTCATAATTTAACTTCTTTATAAAGTTTTTGACTGTTTTAGTTATTTCATTTGTGTATTTGCCTTACATAAAACAATTGTCGGAAGTATATGATAAAGAGATTAATACATGGCCTTTTCCATATCGGCCCGGGTATCATCCCTCGACCCATATCAGCACCTCGACTACGTCTCGGGTTGATACCCGGGCCAATATGAGAACAATTTTTCTATATATTTATATATTAACGACTTACATAGGAGGGCTTGTAGTTTCTAAATCAAGGACTACCAGTGGAGCTGTAGAAATATCTATCGGTATACATGAAGATGCATTCATTGGAGCAGGGATTTCTTCATCTAACTTCTCATTGTTCATTCCTATAACACATCAAGTTTTGTAAAAACAAAATTGCAGATTTTAATTGTAATATATGGTGTAAAATGTGTTTGTACAAAAGTAAATGAAACATCAAATGTTTAAAGTATGTTCTATTTTATAACTTTGATAATCCTTATTGCATGTCATGCATCAATCTTACAGACCAAAAAAGGGGCCCTCCGCTAATCAATTATAAGTACGAAAGACAGAGAAAGTTTAAAAATCATACTTTGGTTAAATTTGCAATAAGTTAAATGAATTAACAAGTCAAAGTTTAAATTCTAAGACAGTTTAAAAAGTTAAGGATGTACCTATTTCACTTTCATAAGTTCTTCCTTCTCTTATATCAACACCGGTACTTTTTCCTGATCTTTCTTTATTTTAAAATTGATTCTTCTTTTTTTGTGCTGCTTTGTTTTGGCTCTTTCAGATTTTTTATTCCTCTTTCTATTCAATCGTATAGCCCTCTTGATAGTCTCATTCCCAACCCGTATGAACTGGAGTTCAACTGGACTCTAGCTAGACTTGAGACGTATTCCAGTCTGACATTGAAAAGTCCAGTCTGACATGAGCCGTACACGTACTTTTTCTTATACTTGGGTTATTTGCCAGCCGGTATTTTCTAAAAAGTCCAACCGCACTTTTTGTAATGCTTACAAGAAATAAACACGGCTGGACTTTTGAGGAAATTTATTCCTTTCTGTAGAATGATCAGCAGGATTTTTGTCTTAGAAAATTTTACATTCATTTATGAGCAGGAATTTAGACTTGGAAAATTTTCATCAGCCAAATCTACCCTTACAGAAATAAAAAGTTTGCTACATTAGATTCTGTTCTTTGAAAGGAACAATTCTTTTTCTGTTCTTTAAAAGGAACAATTCTTTCAAAATGTAAAACAGTTAAAAATGAAAGTTTGCAAGTAATTAATAATAATGATAAAATATTTTTTTGCAATATACTTTTAGTTCAAACTATAAGATGTGATACTTTCCCTAGATTTTCAATTCCATTTAGGGCATTATGAAATATTTAACATAGACTGTTGATGGAAAGTTAAAATTTAATTTTGGTGACTTTTGATTGAATTATATCCAAGTTAATATGTTTAATATACAGCAATTATTTAACATTTCTACTTTTTTCATAAAAAAAAACACTAGCAACATCTGTTACAGGTCAAATTTATACATTTTCTAGTATATTTATATTTAATTAGATGAATGCATAAAATTTATAATTATCATTCATAATCTTTAACATCAATTAGAAACTTGAGCCATATAATAGTGATCAACAGTGATTTAATAGCAGTTAGTCTTGTAGAAATGTGCCATCTGTTTTCAATTAACCTCAGTCTGGACAGGTCACAGGAAGTACTATCTCCACAGAGATTGAGGCCATATGTGGGAGAATACATTTCGAAATACATATTTCTGCAATTACTATCACTTTTATTAAAAATTTCATAATTAAACAAATTAATAATTGATTTTCTTTTTTTAATATATCACATATTCAAAATTAAGGCACATGCAATTAGTCATAAGAGGAACATTTAAAACAACTCCTTAACATGTTAAACAACCTCATGTATTGCAATACAACAACATTTGAATTTGGAATAAACAGGAAGATGTGTCTTCTTTCTTGAACAAAATGAGAATTTTATATATCATTGGATGTAAAGCAAATGTTTGGAAGTAATTCTTTTCACATTAAATAGAGAAGATGGGTTATTCTGACTGGCATCAATGACAATTTAGGAAGATTGCTGTTTGCATGTGTTTTGGATTGCATAATTCTGGTAAGTACAATAAATTGAATTCCACCATGTTGGTGATATTATCAGATATGCTCTTTTTATTCAACTTATTAATAAAATAATTATAATATTATAAATAGCTTAATTCTTATTTTTGAAGAGTAAAAAGAATAAAAAACCTACATCAACTATTTATATTCATGCAATAATCTTCATCTTGTCTGTTATGTCCCTGTCACTTCCTGTTTTGAATTGTTGTGTTAAAAAATGTATTGTTATATTTTTTAATCCCTCGATCTGTATTAAGGAATGGTTATTATTTGAGTTGTTTTGAAAGGATTTCAGGCCTCTACAATAACTTTTTTTTCAACTTGTCCAGTAGGACAAGTACATACCAAAACTTACTTGTCCGAATGAAATTGTAACTTGTCCAAAAAAAATCTTAATAATAACCATTTTTGCATTTTAAGTTGATTCAAGGAACAAAATGAATTAAAACAAAAGAACAGAATTTGATTGATATCTTTTGAAATACTTTACAAAAATATGAGTCGAGAACAACTGAATCTAGTCATGTCACAGGACTTACGTTCTAGCTTTCTTTAGTGCCAAAGTCTCATCAGACTCTGCACATGAGGCACTGTCTGATAAGCCTGTCAATGTACACTCATTGGATTTGTATCTTGGTTTTTAGGTTGAAAAAAGTTTTTTCAAATGCAATCAATAAAAAAAAAGATGAGGTATGATGCCAATGAGACAACTCTCTGCAAGAGACCAAATGACACAGAAATTAAAATATATAGGTCACCGTATTGCAAGTATTGTTTTTTTTCTACAAATGATGAAATATGATTTTGTGAATTTTATGGTAAATAATTTCTTCATTTTTTTTTTTTAAATATTTTTTGTTAAAAAAATTACCGGTATGGTATTTATTATAAAGCAACAGAATAAGTTCGAAAACCAGGTACTGATTTGTTTTGGTCCCGAAATGTCTCCTGCGTTGCCAAACTGTCTATTAATCATGTCTATTAAATATGTCTCCTAGGTGCCAAACTGTCTATTAAATTTGGAGCGGAATCGTTTTTCCAGCTGGTGACAACTGTCTTGAAAAGTTTCCTTATCTACAAAGCCGATCAGTAAGAGGGTTACACTAATGACTGGACCCAATGACACCCTCAGTAAGACTGGTTTCCGAGAAAAGTATGCCTTTTACCTCTAAAAAAGTACCTGACAAAGAACCAGTTTTAAAGTATCGATTGCAAGTAAACATGTCAAATTAGTACTTGTTTTTATCTTCTTTTCTTGTTTTTTGTTTATAATTACTTTGTTCATCAAAGTTGGATTAAATTTATTTTCTGCAGAATAATTTTACTTGTCCCGTCGGACAAGCTTGATATAGCTTTTACTTGTCCGACCTTTTTTTCCTCTGGTACCGGACAATCGGACAAGTGTTATTGTCGAGGCCTGGATTTCTACACTTTAAGTGATTTTGAAAGCCAACTTTATTTTATTTTTAGCCACTTTAAAATTATTTAGGTTATTAAATAACCACAATTTTTTGTAAGTTATCATTTAGCTTCTCAATACCCCATTTCTTGGTTTTGCCAGTAAGACAGTACAAAAAAGAAAAAGAAATAACCAGTATATATGCATAATGTCATCTGTTTTTTTTTCTATTTTCAGATTATAGCAAGGGATCCATGATGCAAATTAAATCAGAAAGAATCAACCATCTGAAGAAAAACTGAGCAGTGGCGGATCCAGGGGGAGGGTTCCGGGGGTTGGAACCCCCCATTATTTTGACGATCAATACATTTGAATGGGGACATATGGTTGGACCCCCTCCCCCTATCCCCCCCCCCCTTCCTTTTGAAAATAGCTGGATTCACCCCTGCTGAGATCATCTTTAAAAGTCAAACTGCACTTTTTGAAGTCCAGCTGAACTTTATAGAGTCCATATTTTTGCCAGTAATGCCGGCTGGATTTTTTTTCAGACGCACTTTTATTAAAGTCCAGCTGGACTTTATGAACCGGACTCCTGCTAATTTAAATATTTCGAGCCGGTTTACGGCTAATTTCGCTGAAAGTCCTGCCGGGGTATCTATTATAAGCAATTCAAAGAAAAGTCCAAATGAATATTATAAGTACGGTTCTCAGTACTGCTACAGTACGGCTACTGTCCGACAGGAGTACGTGTCATGTTTATCATACGGGAGGTGACAACCCTGCTGCTTCACTAACCTTAAAAAATAAATAAATAACAACATGTATAAATTCAATATGAGGATGGTCTTAACAGTTATTTAAGAAATGACTGTTCCTCTTTGTTGCAAAGTTTTATTTTGATGTAAAAGCATTGATCAAAGCACATTTTACATGAATCACTTTAGGTTTTTATACCCTATAAAACTACAAAAATAATGAAGAAGGAACAAGGATGCGAGATTTTCTTGCTGTGTTGAAGACCCATTAATGGACTTTGGCTGTTTTCTGTTTTGGTTAGGTTTGCTGTCTGTTTAACACATTCCCCATTTCAATTCTAAATTTTATTTCTTAAAATTACATTTCACCTTTAAAATATACTTTTTGTATAGTGTAATAACAAATTTCCCTTATTTTGTTTTGAAACATTAGTGAGCAACCATTGAACATCAAGGGGGGTAATGATCTGTTGTTTGAGTCATAAAATATTTTTCATGCAGAGCAATTTTATTTACTTTTTGTCGCTAGTAATCAAACTTTTTTTCTTCAAAACTTAACACTATAAGGTAATGGGGAAATCTGGATTCAGAATATTTTTTTGTCATCTGCTTGAACAGAATATTTTTTTCATCAAACTTGGGATCAGAATATTTTTTTTGGGAAAAAACCATAAAAGTATAATTTGCAAATATTACCTTTGACAAATAACCATATCCCTCATTTTTTTGTAAGACTGCTGCACTGACACGATAATTTAAACTTGAGGAACCAGAATAATGCTTATTTTTTCCTGCTTTGGTTGAGACCGTATGGTTAAAGCTTTCATTTGCTTGGGAACTAGCAAGTTTTGACAGTTTCTTTGATTGGCTTTCAATTTTTCCCATAAACAATTTCTCTAGATCAGCTTTGAGGCTTTCAGATGTCAAGTCCTTTCCGAGGGGTAAGTTTGTGTGCCTGTATGATGTTCTGTCTTTTAGATAACCACACCATTTCATATCACAGGTTTGGTGTTTCCCATACATATGGTCAATCATCCCTCTGACTCCTTTTTCAATTTTTTCTGGACTGCCTTGGTTTTGTGCCAACATGTAGGAATAATTCTTGGTAATTGCATTTATTACCATTGGCGTCAACTCCTTTTGCTTTGGTTTTAGGCTGTACAGCTTTTTGATGATATTTTTGATTATATGATTTCTATCACTGGTTTTTGCCATTTTAGAATTTGGAAGAAGTTTCTTTGCCCTGTCAAACCCAACAGAATCATCATCACCTGCCAGTTCATTAATTTCAATATTTTGTTCATGTACATCCTTCACCAACTGTACTACCATGTCTGGTTCCATGCCCTTTGCTGTCCCTGACCAGTTTTTTTTACAATTGTGTGGTATTAGGTGGTCTTCCATTCTTTTGTGCATTACGACATATACGGCAGCTGGATATTCTGAGGGTGTGATGCACAATTTTCCCTGTTTTTTCCCCTATCAGTGATGCCACACCTGAAAAGTTAAATGTATATGCTAATGCAAGTAAGTGTAAATATGGAGTAATCATGCTGCTATAAAAGTATTTCAAATTGATTGTGTAATAATTCTTAAATGATTTGCATATCTATAAATACTTGAATTGGATTGGTCAATTAGAATTTTTCTCTTGGTTTACACTTAGATAAACCATGTTTCCGAAACTAATTTCATAATCTATTCATGCACGATACATATGCTTGCAGGGATCCCGTGATTTTCAGCAAATTGAAATTAAAAAACAAATTTGGCTTAAGAATTATAAGGTTTAAACACATTTTTTCTAGAGGGTATTGATGTGTAAACCGGGGCTCTTACTCACAAACTCTAGAAAAAAATGTGTTTAATCCTGTAATGAAGGCGTCAACCTAATTTTAGTAAAAGCCACTTTTTGTCGGAATAAAAGACAGAAACCATATATTTCTTTGAGTATTGCATTAGTCATAAGGTAAACTTACTTTGAGATAGTAAAATACACGATCTACAGCAGCAAAGTTTAGAATGGAATACAAAAAGGAGCCAAAAACAAGCATTTTTCTTGTTTCGGGACAATAACTTGTGTATAAGTGTAAGAATCTTTATGAAATTGTACCACATGGTTCCATACCTCAAAAGGAATGTTGGGATTTATTTTGTGGGAAATGGCCTAAACCATTTAGGAATAAGGCACCAAAAGGTGCAAATAAACTAGAATGTTCTGGTTGCCTGACAATTACTTGAGTATAAGTCTATGGATCTCTTTGAATTTGTACCACAAGGATCCATACCAAACAAGAGGATCTCAAGAGCCTGAATCGCTCACCTGTATTTCAGAGGAGAAGATTTTTAAATGTTAGCAAACTTGATGAACAAATTGTGTAAAATTGTCTTTAAAGGGCAATAACTCCTTAAGGGGTCAATTGACAATTATGGTCATATTCACTTTTTTGTAGATCTTACTTTGCTGAACATTATTCCTGCTTACAGTTTATATATATATTCTATAATAATATTCAAAATAATAACAAAAAACTGCAAAATTTTGTTAAAACTACCAATTCGGTGGCAGCAACCCAACAATGGGTTGTTCCATTTGTCTGAAAATTTCAGGGCAGATAGATCTTGACCAATTAAACAAATTTACCCCAGTCACATTTGCTCTAAAAGATTTAGTTTTTGAGATATAAGCCAAAAACTGCATTTGACCCTTATGTTCTATTTTTAGCCATGGCGGCCATGTTTGGTGATGGATACACATTTGGTTGTCGATTCGTCTGAAAATTTCAGAGCTTATTGATCTTGACCAATTAAACAATTTTACCCCATGTCAGATTTGCTCTAAAAGCTTTAGTTTTTGAGATATAAGCCAAAAACTGCATTTGACCCTTATGTTCTATTTTTAGCCATGGCGGCCATGTTTGTTGATGGATCAAAACTTCGGATACAATTTATAAACTAGATACCCTAAGGAACATTTAGTTAAAGATTGAAGGTATTTGGCCCAGTAGTTTCAGATGAGAAGATTTTTGATATAGTTTACGACGACAGACGACGACGGACGCCAAGTGATGGCATAAGCTCACATGGGGCCCTTTGGGCCCCGTTGAGCTAAAAAGAAAGGTTGGGATTGATTTTGAGGTTTATGGCCCTAACATTTTAGGGAATAAGGCCAAAAACAATACTTTTCTGATACTTTGTATACATTTGCTTATTTCCTGACCTATTTCCATGGGGTTTAATTCTAAGTCTTAAAAACTTGGGGTTGTTTAATAGAAAGAATCTAACTGTGTATTTATATTTTGGATTGTGATCCCGTGTGTAAATTGGTACACATTGAGGTCCAAAGGATCCAATTTAACTTTGTTTGATTTCTTAAGAAATATAGATTTTTTTGGGTTCTTTTATATGGTGATTCTCATGTGTATTCAGATTTTTTATCTTGGGGCCAGTTTCAAACAAGTCCACATTAAGGTCCAAAGGGTCCAAACATAAACTTTGATTTCAACAAATATTTAGTTCTTGATTTTTTTTGATATGCCTAATCTGTGTATTTTTAGATTTTATGATTTTTCTGCCCTGTTTTGTAATTGGTCCACATTAAGGTCCAAAGGGTCCAAAATAAAACATTGATTGATTACAACAAATACAAATTTATGGGGTTCTATGATAAGCTGATTATTACCCTGTATTCATATTTTGGATTTTGTGCCCAGTTATAAAATTTGTCCGTATTTAGGTCCTAAAATACACTCAGTTTGAATTCATCCATTATTGAAATCTTTTGGTTCTTTCATTTGCTGAATCAAACCATGTAGTTAGATCTTTTATATAAATGGACCATAATCATGATAATAGGTAAATGACTGACTATTTTCACTCTGTGTCAGAACCTATGCTATGTCAAGTATATAATCACAATCCAGAATCAGAGCTGAATTGCACAATTAATAATATAGATTAAAAGAAGGGAATTACCACTTGAAAAGTCCAATTTAATTTTTTTCAAATCTTAGGCCACATTCATTCTATGTCAAAAACCTATGCTGAGTCAAATATTTAATCACAATCCAAGTTCAGAGCTGTACAAAGCTTGAATTTGGTGTCCATACTTGCCCCAACTGTTAAGTTTTTGACAACTGCAGTCATACCAAGATGAGCATTTTATAACTAGTATGATTTTTTTTTAAATATTTGAATATCTGTACACTTGCCTTTAATGCATGTACATTTTTTGGGTTTGTTTTTATATAGTGCACTATGATTTTATATGTACCTGACAAACTATTGTAAGCCCTTCCAGAACCTTTCTTCTGCCAACAAGTGTCTGTGGATGCATTAATACCTGCTTGTTCATTACCTTCTGTAAAAAAAGATTAAATTCATAATACAGTAACCAGAAAATATGTATTCAAAAACAGATCTCAAGCCCTAAAAACATGAACCAAAAGGTAAAACTTAACTATAGTCACTCAAAGTGGCCCAAGTGTTGTAGAGCTTAATTGTCCTTTATACATGAGGACTGTAGCTGAGAATTATCATTGATTTATTATGAAATGTTTTCACAGAAATAAACCTAAACACAAAACTCAACCATGAAATTAAGGTGATAGTAACCAGTCAGGGGTACTACTTAAACAAGTGATTTCAGAATCACTTGCTCGAGTGATTTTGGCTGTGAAATATTAAAAATTTTCACACAGACTTTTTAAAATCACTGAAACAAGTAATTTTAGAAGTTAAAATGTAATCACTTTAATAAGTGTTTATAACATTTTCTTGATATTTTTCCCACAAGCTTGATTTTTTTATTGGTAAAAAGACAACAATTCCATTGAAAAAACAACTATGTACATGCAGAAATTGTCTTTTGCTTGATAAGCCTGACACTTTTACAGTTTTTTTAAAATATGCAAAAACTGGAATAGTTTGTAGATCAGGTCATAACCTTGAAGTAGATCATTCTAACTCTAAAGAAAACCAATCAGGTTACCTAATATTGTTGATCTTTGTCTGATAGTAAGAGTAGTTAATGAATTTTTGATTACAGAACAATTCCCAAGGGTACTTTTAAAAGCTTTAGCGCACTAACTTACTGCCCAAGCGCACTGGTGAAATAAATATACAAAGAAAAAGGGATAATTGATTTATGTAGGAAAATTATAGAAAAGATTGTGAAAATATGGAAAATCAATGAAATTAGCATTTGAAGATCAAAGAAAACACTAAAATCACTTAAATAGGTGATAACTGAATTTATCAAATCACTGAAATAAGTGATGATGAAATCACTTGTTTAAGTAGCACCTCTGACTGATTAAACCCTTTTCAACTGATTTTATATTTTGTTCATATATTGCGCTGTTACAACACTGTCCCAGGTTGGGCACCTGCAAAAAATTAAACCCCTCCATATGCTGTATGTGCTTGTCCCAAGTCAGGTGCCTGTAATTTAGTGATTGAAGTTTAATGCTGTGTAACATATTTGTTTTTTCATTCATTGTTAAGTACTAAAATTGTTGTTAGTTTTTTTGTTTGAATTGTTTTACAATTATCATTTGGGGCATTTTATAGCTGACTATGTGGTATGGGTTTTGCTCATTGTTAAAGGTTGGACGGTGACCTAAAGCTGTTAACTCATATGTATTTGGTCTCTGTTGGAAAGTGGTCTTATTGGCAATCATACCACATCTTCTTATTTTTATATGTAGTACAATTTTTTATATTGACCAAACTATATCATTATCATAATTGGAAGAACATTTGTTTACCTGCAGCTAATTTTGTAATATTGACATCAAATGTACATGTACCAACTCCTTTTCTACTACTATTTGCATGATGTGTCTTCCCTAATCTATTTCGGGCAATATCACCACATTCTGTACATTGAATATACAAAATACCAGCAACACCATAAGGTTTAACTCCCAACGAATTATGTAATTGTAATGGGACCTCACATTTGGAACATTGTTTCAACTGCTGAACAATATAGTCTAGTTCGACAACATATCTACAGTGGTTTAAGGGAAGTAAATCAGTAGGTAATGGTAATAAGTCAAAATCAACATTTATATTATATTCATCATCAACCACTACTTCATGATCTTGTATATCAGGTACAGACTCAAAAGCAACATTATACAAATCAGATGTTTCAATGGTTTTCAGTTGGGCATATGAGTGGTCAGGTTCTAAGTTTTGACAATGGACTGAGTCAAATGATGGTATATCGTGGTGGTCAGGTTCTAAGTTTTGACAATGGACTGAGTCAAATGATGGTATATTGTGGTGGTCTGTTTGCAATCCACTCCTGTGAAAAAACTAGCCCTTGGATTTGTTGGTTTTTCTCTAAATTCTTCTTTTTTGAAAATTTGCCTTGTTTTTTCCTTTGAGACATTGTTCAGCAGACGATACAATATTTTACGATTGTCGTGATTTTATAAAAATTTTCATCATTCAAGGATTTGCAATATTTCAGTGACTAATTGATAATTCTGAACGTACTTTTTAGATACTCACCACGATATCTCTTTCTTTGGGTGGATCTACGTGTTGAAAATTAGTAAGACAGCTTAAAAATATACCGAAATGAATACAAATTATAACAAAAATTGATAGTCATTCTAGTATACATATAAAAGCTGGTTAGTAACCGTTACTTGTCAAAATATTGAAAGCAAGTTTCTTCCGAGATTCCAAAATGGCCAATCTCGATGTCAACAAACCGTAAAAAGGTCGACTTTGTAGTTTTAAATACCGTCCTTGATTTAATTTCTGTGAATTATGAATCGAGAAAGAACTAACTTAGAACAAAAATGGCTAGTGTTTTTATATTGTTTTTAATCGAGAAGAAAGTAAATATTTTGCGACGTTCGACCGATTCAGTTCAGTTCAGTTTCTTGTATATTCCTCCATTAATTGTGGAGCACTACCCATAGGGTATAATTGTAGCAACTATATACACCTTAAGAACATAAGGAAGCATTTAATTATGTACAGTTGACTGAATTTAGGCAATAATAATTACTAAAAATTAATATTATAACTAATTCATAGGATTGTCATCATAAAATTTTAAAAATAATATTCATAATGTGCTGAAGTGTAAGAATAAGTTAAGTAAGAACTGGATATATTTACAAATAAGAATTTAGAATTTAAGTGGTCTTAAATTAAACTTTCTTATAATTGTTAGTTAAAGGTGCTATACGTACATCAGAATTTATAATGAGAAGGTTATTTTATAGGACTTATGTAAAAGGGTTGGGGTTTAAAACAATTCATCATATATACATAAGTTTACCTTCACAGTTTAAAGTTACCTTATTTCGGATCTTATCGTTATTCTTTAAAGGTAACTGGATATCTTAAAACTTTGCAAAATTTTTTATTTTATTTAATTTAGGTCCTAATACGTCATAAAATAGTAAGATGGTAAAGTAGGGAACTATTTTATTTTAAAAAGGTTTACTTATACTGTACTAAGTCTTGTGTTCAAGTTTTTAATCCTTTTTGTGCGCAGCATGTGCATCTCGTAGCACATATTTCTAGCCAGAGTTTCAATGTTTTCATACACAGTTGAGTAACAGTTTATGTCCTTGCTAGTACAGTCCGGGGTCCATTATGAGCTGCAGTAAATTCCCTTCTTGTATGATCTTCTTGTATGTTGAGGTATCGATTTCATCCATTGTCTGTTCTATTTTTGAGCAATATTTAGATCTTATTTGCTCCAATTCTTTGCAGCGTAGAATAAAATGTTCCAGATCTTCATTTTCCTGTTCGCAGATTGTACATATCGGGTTAACTTTCGGATCGAACTTAGCTCTTTTGGATTGTAATATGTACGTTTGAGTACTTATTCTTGCTTTTATTTCTCCTGCCTTTACATCTTTACTATTGTTTTTTACGCTTTTCCATATATTGTGTGCTTCATTTAATGGATTGTTCTGTATCTCTATGTATTTAAGTGATGTTTTTTCCATTTTTTCATAGTGACATTCATGTTTCCAGTATTCCTTGATCTTTATTCCTACTAGTCTTTTCCATTCGATTTTTTTAAGTGGTTTTTCTATGTAGTAACTACTAGATTTCAAATTGTATTTTGATAGAGTTTTTTCCACTCTGTTGATAAAGTCTTTTCCTCTTTGGTCTGAGAATGCTATTTGTCGACGCATGCAGAATTTCACATTCTATGGTTCCTGAATTTCGAACAATATTCATGAAGAAGGTAAGTAGATTTTTGTCTAATGTGATGGCAATAGGTTCTGCTCCTACCAGGGTATAGACAGCCATATTTGCTGTATTATTTGGAAGCCCTTGAATTTGTCGGAGGATTTTTCTCTCTGCCAGTTCTAGCATATCCTTTTCTTTTGCAAGTAAGTTCATCACCTCAAGTCCGTAGATGCTTCTTGGTACTGCACATGTTCTCCATAGCTTGTATGCGACCATGGGTGAGAATCCCCTTCTGATATGTAAACCGGCTCCGAGAAGGCTGTATATTGTTGCCCTGTCGGTTCTTATTCTTTCAGAGATATTTGCCCGGTTTTGCTCGTTTCTTTTGATACCTAGATGTTTGGTTTCATTGGTTATATTGATTTCATCGTCTTCGAATCGCAGTGTTGTTATGTTTGAGCCTTTTGCATTATATAAAACCGCTTCAGATTTAGTTGGATTGATTTTAACTAGATCTCTGCTTGTATGGTGCTGTACTATGTCTAATATTCCTTGTGCGTCTGCAGTACTATTTGCCAGGACAGCAATGTCATCGGCACATGTAGGTGCAGGGACTTGTATATTACCAATACATGCTCCAAGTCCACTTTTTAAAATGTTATCCAGTATGACGTTGTTGTAGCATTTATATAGCGTTGTAGATAGTTTTGCACCTTGTTGAATTCCTTGTAACACCATTACATCTTCTGTACATTGACCTTCCCATTTGACCTTAATGCTCATGCCTTTATACATGTTTCTCAGTAGTATCCACAGTTTTCCTTTTATTCCATAATGGTACAACTTGTTGAATAGTATTTCATGGTTTAGTTTGTCAAATGCTTTTTCTGCATCAAGAGTTATTAAAATCATCAGTATCTTTAATTTCTTACTTTCTTCGATTGCTTCTGATGTGAGGAAAGCTGCGCATAGTGATGATACTCCTTCTGTAACATCACTATGCGCAGCTTTCCTTTATCGTAATGGCTGCGCACCAATCGACGCAACGGGCGCGAAAATTTAAACCCGCCAGCCCCCTTAATTATGAGGCTTAAATAATTGCCCTTTTTTCAATGACACTTAAGCGTAAAATTGCCCTTTTTCTGACTAGCACCCTGCCCTTTTCAAATCCTGGCTAGAACACTGCATAGCAACAAAGGACAACCACTAAACAAGAGATTCCTGACTTAGGACAGGTGCATTTAATATATGCAGTTGGTTTGAAACTTCACCCTAACTTATACAGCCGTATAACATTACATCAAAAAAAGACTCACACTGAATTTTAATGTGCGTATTGTTATGCGTTTACTTTTCTACATTGGCTAGAGGTATAGGGGGAGGGTTGAGATCTCATAAACATGTTTAACCCCGCCGCATTTCTGCGCCTGTCCCAAGTCAGGAGCCTCTAGCCTTTGTTAGTCTTGTATTATTTTTAATTTTAGTTTCTTGTGTACAATTTGGAGTTTAGTATGGCGTTCATTATCACTGAACTAGTATATATATTTGTTTAGGGGCCAGCTGAAGGACGCCTCCGGGTGCGGGAATTTCTCGCTGCATTGAAGACCTGTTGGTGGCCTTCTGCTGTTGTCTGTTCTGTGGTCGGGTTGTTGTCTCTTTGACACATTCCCCATTTCCATTCTCAATTTTACACTATAAAATAGTAATTGTAAATGGCTTACATGTAACTCTATCAAAATACAAAAATTACACAAAACACAACTATACGAATAAGAATACTTTGTGACACAGTTTAAAAACAATAATAAAACGCATGTGCCTATAAAACATAGACGTTACAGTTAGTAATAAAAAAAGGGACTCATGAAGAACTTTTATCCTGAACAAAATGGTGGTTAATAATCCATTTCAAATCTCACATGTAAATTGAAAATATAATAATTTTGTAGTTCGACCCTGAGTACGGACAACTGGAAATAAAAAAAAATATATTAACATGTTTTGTTGACTTTCTGAAAGCATCCGATAAAGTCATACACATTGGTATTATGTATAAACTGCAACTGTGTAATACAAACAATTATTTTTAGGGAATATTGTATGTATACTAATGACAGGTTATAAATGTGTATAAGTGGAAGATAAAATGAAAGTCTCAGTTCTTTACAGCAGGTGTTGGCGTAAGGCAAGGGGATGTTTTAAGTCCCAATTTATTGAAGTCTATGGAGTATGTAGGTGAAAAATTATTGTAATATATATCTTGGATACAGATAATAAAACTGTAGTTAAAAAGGAGGATTATGGAAGGGAAAGTTGGTCGTAATACTCAATACTTATAAAAGGTGGTACACATTCAAAATTAGCAAGACGAGAAATTAAGATATATAACAAAATATGATAACATGAAATTACAGATATACATTACAAATTGTGTATAAAGACCAACTTAACACACAAATAAAGATTTGAGAGTACTCAAAGTTAAAAGCCAAAAACAATCAACAAAAAAAATCATATATCAGAGACTAAAATCAATCAAAACACATCCCAGGGATTTAGTGTTTTAACGCCATGGACAGTCAAATAAAACATGATTTGTGCAATACTACAAAAAATGTATATTAAAGTATCGACAGGTAAAATGTAGTAAGATCTTTATGATAATTCAGATAAAGCTTAATTAAAAATTATAGTAGTTGGTATTTATACATCCCATACAAAAAATGGACAGACTAAGTGACATGGAAATGCCTTTACACCCAGGTATTCCCCCTAAATAAGAATTAAGAGAAAGAAAGGGGGTAAACACAATTTGTGAGAAACAAATATTTCATCAAAATAATTTTCAATCAAAACTTTTCTTTAATTTATTCATGTCTTTACATTTACAAACCTGCTCGTGCATTTTTCATTGTTATTCAACGCAAAATAATTATCTAAGAGACCTGGGACGATCTCATTTCACAAAGGATTTCTATTGTCTACTTATTGTACCTCGAACTTATTTAGGTCTTTAAGTTGAGGTTCAATTTACTAAAAGTTAATCGGGCATGACTAATTAGATACGCCCTCTTAAAATCAGGGGGTCCGAAATAGGATCGGGAAAACACCCAGCAAAATACCATAATTTACAATTTTAGAATTTTTTTGATTCAACGTGCTTTTGGTTGCTTTAATATCTCCGGTCAATAATCAAACGGTATTTAAGTGGAAATACTAACCTGTCTCGAACCGGGAGATGTTGGCTGCAATAGGAATTTGTTTACAAAAAAAAAGTTCATATATCCCAGCCGTTATTGATTGTAAATTCATGACGTTTTGTTTTTGACATTCGTCTACCGTAGAAGAAAAAAAGGGAGGGAGGGCTAATAGCTTAACTTACGACTTCGACCATGGTTCAACTGTATTATGGCATGCGTTTTACCTCAATCGAACGCTCTGCCTTATTGTAAAAAGTGCCACTCTAAAATTGTAATCATTTACTTCGCAGGTTGATCCACTCGTCGTGAATATGCATGACATATTTGCCACTGGACAT